CACACACACACTATCCTCAATAATTATGCATCCTGTTGTCAAGTGATATCAAAATCCAGAAAATAATTCACAGTGCGGGGCTATACAGTTGAACCGGTTCTTAGTGCCAACTGTTCAGGACAATCATCTGTATAAATGCCCACTTCTCACTTCCCTCCTTGCGCTTTTTTTTCTCTATATCCTGTAATCCTAATGACCCTATCCAGAACGTCCATTTGTCTAAGGCAACCTGTATTCTCTTCATCAACAACAGGCTGCGGGTCTTAGACAATTTTCGACTATAATTCCCTTTTACCGATAATTCTACGCTATATTACCTCTACAAATTAAACCAAATCAACCAACCAACCAGCCAACCAGCCAGCCAACCAGCCAATCAACCAACCAACCAACCAATAAATCAACCAGAAAGCCAACCAACCAATAAATCAACCAGAAAGCCAACCAACCAACCAACCAACCAACCATCCATCCATCCAACCAACCATCCATCCATCCAACCAACCAACCAACCAACCAACCAACCAGTAAACCATCCAACCAACCAAACAACCAACCAGTAAACCATCCAACCAACCAACCAACCAACCAACCATCCATCCATCCAACCAACCAACCATCCAACCAGTAAACCATCCAACCAACCAACCAACCAACCAGTTAACCATCCAACCAACCAACCATCCAACCAACCAACCATCCATCCATCCAACCAACCATCCATCCATCCAACCAACCAACCAACCAACCAGTAAACCATCCAACCAACCAACCAACCAACCAGTAAACCATCCAACCAACCAACCATCCAACCAACCAACAAACAAACATAAGCAGCACTGACCTGATGGACATCATAAGCCAGGGGCTGAGCCGGGCGGCCGCAGGCAGAGCCATGGTGAGCAGCGACATGAGCAGGACACAGCCTAGAGACAGCCGCTTGCAGCCAAGGTGTTGGATGATCCTCTGTGAGGGCAGCTGGAGCAGCAGGTAGCCCCAGTACAGCCCACCCAGGATGATGCCTTGTGTGCTCTTGCTCCAGACCAGCTGTCCGTCCTGGGTGTTTTGTTTTTGTTTTAATCAGGGTTTTTTTTGCTTTTTTTTAGACAGCGCTCGCAACTGCATAATTAGGTCACATGAGCGCCAAGGGGTGGAAGCTATACGTTCTCTGGGGGTCTAGGGTGGAAGTCAACAGAGAAGTCCAAACGGGGAATCAGGCTTACTCTGCTCATCTCTCTAGCCTCAACAGCACAAAGTCTGCTTCGACTATCAAGGCACCCCGGAAATAATAGTCCACAAGAGAGTGACAAATATACAAAAGAAGTAGAAGAAAAAGGACGATAGTATTAATAAGGGTGAGGAAAGAAAAAAGCAGGAGTTCCTCCTATGTTGTTCCGACAGAGTAAGAGCATGACACTGATAAATCACCCCATTTACAATTCTACTGGGCATAAGAACACGAGAATGGCCTAAAGACACTTCAGAAAGTAGCACTGCCCTGGG